CGGGGACAGAGACATTATGGATGGATAAACTCTCCATTCTCTTAGGTTTTGACTCATAATGATGTTTCCTTCTCTCTTTTGTTTTTAAATTATGTCTCTTGTTTTTGCATTGATTAGGTCTTAGGTTAAATCTTTAGTGTCGAGACTGTTGTAGATTGTCGATGAGAGAAAGAACATGCATTGATTAGGTGCATGTAGTGTAGGGGGAGAGTAAGAGGAGAGGTCCTGAGCAAAAGTCTAAACTTGTACATGAAGTGGATGCCTTTGGTGATGAAATTGGGAAGATTTATGATCAGTAAAGTAAGAAAATCTCCTATATTTGAATGTTATTTTCTGAGAAGCTTGAGGGTATACTTGTGGCTTGCTATTGTTTTTATTTTGGACGATGAAATTTAGAACTGACTTTTCAAGAACTTTGTATGTTTTGGTGCGGGTTTGGGGTATTTACATCGAAGAATTAGAGAGGGTCAATTGACACATGCATTAAGAAGGATTGCATAAAACACTCGAGTACAAAAGTAAAGTGATTGTATTGGTGTAACTTACACCGTGTAAGTAAAGTGATTTGAAAGAAGTAATTTTCATCATTGTGCTGTTGGTATTCACACAGTTTATTCGTTTATGGTTAGTGCATATGGTATGTATTTTAACTTGGTTCTTTTTAAAGATATTTTTTTGTGATGTTTAATGATTAGGATGGATTGTGCAATATTAATGCTTACTTTTATTGTGACAAGCTTCTTACTAATGGAAATTTCACTTGTCAAGGAAATTTCACTTAAGGTGAATGTCAAAGGCAAAAAAGGAGCAGAGGATGCAATGCTAGAAGAAGGTTGGCAAAAAAGCAGCAGAGAATGCAATCATGCAATGCAAGAAGAAATAGAGCCACTGTAGACTCTGTAGTGAGACATTGATTGAGACTTGAGAAAGATAATTAATATGTTTTACTTAAACAATTTCCCGATCTATGTTAAGATTCGGAGACACATGTAATTGATAGAAAGTCGAATTCTACTATATAAAAACACAATCATGCTAGTGTTAGGTTAATTTAATCAGTTGTTATCCATTTTAATTGGCCTATTAATCAACTTGATATTCAAAATGTGTTTCTACATGGTTCTTTGAGTGAGGAAGTTTATATGCGGCAACCCCCTGGTTTATTGATCAGCAACGCTCGTTGCAACCATGGGCCATGGTTGTGGTTGTTTCATTTAGTTATTGCGGCAAGTAGACATGACAGACATAAACATGTTTGGTGACATTCCCAATCTTGTACATGCACACAAACCGAATGAAGGAAGGAGGTGGCTAGCACAAGCACTAGAATGTTAAGAACGGGTGAAATTGATTTGGATGAAATGTGTATATATATATATAATTTTTTTTTAAAAAAAAAGGTTAACAGGTGAAACGGATGACCCGTTTACAGGTCTAGTCTAGATAATATCCTCACATTAAGTTCCAAAACGTGGCAATTTTCTATGGATCTCAAGTGAGCTTCATGCTCGCTCGTGCATGCACGTGAAAGCGGGAAAATCAAATACGACAAAAACTCTATTCTGTTTGTTTTGGCCACATTCGTTTTGGATTAGTAGATAAGATAAGATTCAAGATCTAATCCGACTTCCTAATCAGTCAATCCAAATATTGGAATATCTTTATTCTTTAATTATTTATTGTTCGCTTCCTATATTGCTTAATCAGATGGTGACTCGAATGTCTTTATTCTTTAATTATTTATTGTTTGCTTCCTATATTGCTTAATCAAATGGTGACTCGAACCATAATCAATGCTAATCATATCATTAACACTATGGATAATGCCCTAAAACAAATATCACCATCATCAATCAGCTAAAAAGTATTTTCACTTTAACCCGATATATATCTCATATCCAACTTCTCTATCGTCAAAATTGCTTGTGTATAAAAGATAATATCGTATTATAATCATGAATGTAATAAGTAATTTTTATTTAAAGATGACCATAATCACGAAAAAATACTACAGTTAATCTCATGTGCACACGTACATAGTTGACCATGGTACAACTCGATCAAGTAAACACGATTTAGAATTATGATATGTAACATGTGATGTGACAGCCCGTCCATAATTTTAAGAGTTTTTAAAGTTTTAATAAAGGATTTCACAAAAATGCCCTTTGAGGCACGCACATTATTCGAGGTTAATAGTTGTGTCGTGTCATCTAAGATTTGTTTTCTTAACATATCCTCGTAGTACTCGTCGCTACGGACGTGTGGGTGCTGACGGTTCGTGATTTGGAGTTATATCGAAAAAGTTATTAACGTTTGAAATTTGGGATTTTAAGGAATTATAATTTTAGTAAAATCCAGAATTTCTTTTATGAAAATGGACGGCCCAGATTTAATGAAGAATGAAATGGATGGCTTGGATGTAAGAGAAAGAAAATAAAAATAAAAATATGAAAGAAGGTTTTGTGTGTGTGTACGTGAAAGGAAGAAGAAGAAGATGGAGGATTGGGCAAAGCTGCCCAATCGGAACAAGAGAGAGGGAGGAGTTGGGCCAACCAGAAAGAAGAGAAAGTGGAGGACCAATCAGAGGGAGAAGAAAGGAGGAAAGGAGAGAGGGCGAGAAGCGGAGGAGAGAAGGAAGGAAACGGGTTTTCCCCCAACCCGTTTACCCGCGCACCCACCTCCATTTTTCCGACGATTTTCACCGGATTTCTCACGAATTGGATCAAGGTACCACTCCCAATCAACACCTAGGTCTTCATGTTTCAACCCACAAATCATGAAATTTGATGATGATTTGGTGAAAACTGCATCTGTGGGTGCCACAACTTTTTGTTCAAATTGTTCAAATCTTGAAATGTTTTCTTTCAATTACTAACACCATTAGCATTCCCCTAGGACCTGGAACAAATCCCAAGCATTGGTTGGGACGGCGGAATTGATTTGAAGGTCGAATTGAAAACACCCAATTCTAGGGTTCTTCACGGTTTTGGTGAAATTGGAGCTCTTCCAGGCCAAATTGGCCTTGGCCACAGGTATAAATTTTTCTCTACTCATTGAGATCTTCAATTCTGTATTTTTTGAGAATTTTTGGAAATAGTTGGATTTTCCGGCCAGCCGGGGCGGCCAACCGCCACCCGCGGCGGCCCGTGCGGAGGCGCGTGGCCAATGGCCCGCCAATGTCATTCTTAGCATGTGTTTAAGGTTCTAGGTTCAGTTTTGATAATTAATGGACGTAAATTGAATAATTGAACCTAAGTTCGTTACGATTCGTGGTTAGGTGAAAATGTGAATTGACGATCCGACCGTTGGATCGTCACCAAACTTTGATACATTATAATACGTAATATTTTAGGATTATAGGAACTTACGGATTGGGAATCCAATTTACGGATCTTCCGGAATTGGAGTTGTAAGTTCATAAAATAAAATGTTAACCGTCACTTGGTTTTGGAAATTGACGGAGATCCGACCGTTGGATGGTAATGAAATTTTAGGATGTCGTCCTAGAGGTATATTGTGGACCTATGGAAGTTATGGATTTGAAATCTGAGTTGCAGATCTTCCGGATCGAACTACATAGTGACGTGTTTTATATAAGTTACATATTCTATCGATATGAATTCTGAGGTTGGATTTAATTATTGTTCTAGGCGCCGATCGTCATGACGCCTTGATGTGTGGTGCTAGGGAGTTGTTGGGCGAACTCCAGGTGAGTGGGCAGTATTTTCTGTTTATACCTATATACTATGAATTTTCCCAGAAATTGAGTTTTAATGAAAGTATGTTTCTAAAATGCCATGCATGCATGATATGAGTTATATGAATTGATAATTGATGCATATATATATGTGAATTGGTGCTGTGGACGCACATGTAAGTATCAGGTGAGTTTTATGTTATTCATGTGAATCATTGATGATGTATATTATGTTGATAGCTCATAACCTGCAATCATGGTGTTAGTGCTTATATTATTCACCTCGCACCACACGCTCACCTTGGATCCAAGTAGGTGCATGTCGTACAAACCATGAAAGGGTTCCGACATGTCGTACAGACCATGAGAGGGTTCCGACTGATAGGTGACCTTAGATTATGTGCACATATGATTGATGAGAGAAGCACTAGAGCGTATTATTACACCATTCATGTCGTACAGACTACTTCAGGTAGTTCCGACTTATATGCAGTGTAGTGCCGCACAGGTCACCGAGGTGATTCTAGTTGGATTGGATGTTGAGCTATAGAATTAACCGTACATGACCAACTGCAGGGTCTCCGGTTAATTCACCATTTCACCTGTTACATTGATGCATCATTCATTATGTTTTTGAAATTATAACATGGCATGCTTTCTGGTTTTTGAGAAAAATTGATGATTTGAGATTTATGAAAAGTATTATGCTATTATGCTATTTTCTGGGAAAGTATACAGGTTTTACAGCGAGGGTTAGAAATGTTTTAAATGAAAAGTTTTCGAAAAACTTTGTTTTACTGACCCACTCAATTTTGTTTTGCGCCCCTCCAGGTTCTAGATAGCAGAGCTTTGGTGGCCACGAGGAATCCAAAGGTGTTCTGACAGAATTCACAAAAGTAGGACTCACCCCCGGGTGTTTCATCTTAGTAATTGTATTTTCAAAGCTTCCGAACTGTGTAAATGGTTACGTCACTCTCACGTGACGGCCAGCATGCCCTCCTTCGGGGAGGGGTGTGTTATGTGACATGTAAATCAAATTAATGTTTATTTTGGTAAGGAAACTATGATTAGAGAGTAATTATTAGGGTCACAAAAAACAAAAACAGCAGTTTACCTAAAAAACAAAAAAGGGGGTAAAAATGGCACGTGCATAATAAACACAATCAAACTCTCTGAGTCCACGAATTCTACACGACGCGGCTTTCACACCAAAATATCCAAAAAATAATTCAAATTTAATTCATTAAGTTTAAATGATATTAGGAGGAAAAAAAAAGAAAAAACCGGTACCACGCACGACCCACGGCCACGGCTTCTTCGGGTGTTCCAGCTACTGCTTACGCCGCAAACGTCGCTTCCTCATCCCCCACCACTCACTCCCCCTCAACCCATAAATATGCTTTCGCCCGCCACCTCTTCTCTCCATCAACCACAAAAAATTTAGAGCCCTGTTTGTTTCCCGAGAAAATAAAAAGAAAAAGTAAAACTCCGAACTCCAATCTCCAATCTCCAATCCAATCAATGTTGAACGAGGAATTCCGGTCTCATTCGCCGACGTCGCCTCTCCACCAGAAGCGCCACCTCCGATCAATCTGCCTCTCGGGCTGCTTCTCCGGCATGAGCACACACCCATTCGACGTTCTCGACAACGACGCAGACTACTACCACAACAGCAACAACCAGAGGGCCCGGACGCCGCCGCCGAGGTCGCCTCTGCCGGAGATCAAAGGCCGCTGCATGCAACTCATATCAAAGATCGGCGGCGGAGTTAGGTCCGGAAGAGTGCGCCGCCGCAACGCCTCCGCCGACTTTAGCTACGACCCCTCCAGCTACGCCCTCAACTTCGAGGATGACGCCTGCAAGGCCGATGACCAGCTTCTCAACGGATTCTCGGCTCGGCTCTCGGCTTCCTCAATCCCGACGACGCCGCACGAGAGGAAGATAAACCGCAATGCGCTCGACGACATCTTGGAGAGCGAGGAGGAGTTGGCAGCTGCTGCGGCGGCTAACGAGAACAATGCGAAGAGCCGGGCGAACGGTGGCGTGCCTCCGAGGAGGCGGGGGAGGAGCCGGCACTCGTCGTCTTCGGTCGACTTCAGCTACGAGCCGTCGAGCTACGCCAGGAATTTCGAGGACGACGTGAACCGAGGCGATGAGATGATATCCCTCAGGAGGTTTGGTGGTTTGCTGGCGCAGCCGAAGCAGAGCTTGACGGTGACGACGCCTCCGCCTGCCAAGTGTTCGGCCTTGGGTCCGGAGATTGCTGCGTTTAGTTAAAGACTAAGTGCGTTTTGATAAATTGCAAGTGTGTCGTCGTCATATTCTAGGGTTCTGCAACTGAAATGAACGATAATATTTTTCAGTTGAATTCGAGATTCCGTACGACGAGCGACGGTTGGGATTTTTTGGTTCAGAGTCGAGAGAAATGCGGGGGCGGGGGTACCGTGGCTGTTGCTTATTGGGCTGGCCCATTAGAGCAAATATCCGTTGACCAGCTTTGACAAAGAAAGAAGTAGAGACGCAAATGAAGGAAATAATACGACATAAAGCCCATTTTACTTCAAATTGTAATCTGGCCTGATGAGGCCGGCAACTCGTATTGTTTTTTCCTTATTATTTAATTAAATAATTTTAGGAGAGAATCTCGTGACGTGATTGAAATTAGGAAACTTTAACGAAAAGTTTTCGTTACTGTTTATTTTAACGAAAAATCATATTTTTACACTAAAAAGTCGATCATGGTACAATTTATTTTACCCTTTATTTTGTTTTTATCGTTAAAACTCAAAAGTGTTCAAACATTTTTCATTAATTTTTTTTTTAAATTATGGGTTTTATTTTTTATTTGGTTGTTTTTTGTTTTTAGTTTCAATTTCATGGCTTCAAGTTTGCACAAGAAATGTAGTGGGAAGCACGAAGAAACCAAACGAGCAATGAAAAGAAAACGAGTTAAAATATGACAAAAAGATGGATTAAATTCAAATTAAAAACCCTAAAATCATAGCTGAGAAGGTGGCTAGAATATTAGAATAATAAGGTCTTCTAGCAAAAATTGGTCATAAAATTTCATTTACTTATAAGTTAGAACATTGTTTAGCTCCTTACATATAAAAATTCAATCTTTCTCATTTGACACGAGAAATAACTCTCAAATATTAATTAATCCGAACATTTAACGAACTTAAGCACCCAATCACCAAAAAGAAAAAAAAGAAGACAAAACATCAGTTTGGTTTGTTTAAACTGTGAATTAACAGATGCCATACAACTACAAGTCTACAAGTCAGACCTGCAAATGGCAAGGGCCGGCACACGCAGTTTCCTAACACGTAACTCACTTTAGCTATTAGCTATTAATTAGCTAGCACTAATTACATAATTATTAATTATTGATTGCATTATTCATACTATATATACTTTGATCACCCTTTTGCATCAAATCACATATTTTGATATCAAGTCCTGAATCCTCATGGCAAACCCACGTGAGAAAATGCCCTCGGTTCACGAATTTCCATCGCCATTGGAAGTGAACGATGAAGAAATAGATCCATCTTTTTCATGCGGTTGTTTATGGGCACTGTGTGGAAGAAGGATTGGAGCACGGAGATATCTGCTACAACAACAAGAAGGAGAACAAGCGAAAGAGAGTTGGTTGGTGGAGAAGGTTAAGAAAGCGCGAGAAATTTCGGAGGTTTTGGCAGGACCAAAGTGGAAGAACTTCATCCGATCTTTTAGTACGATATACAAGAAAAGAAGGGTGCAGTTTCAGTACGATCCACAGAGTTACGCGCTTAATTTCGATGACGGAAATGTTGATAGGGAAGCAGAGGGTGCTGCTGCTGCATACCATCATTTTTCGAATAGTGGATCATATGCAGCGTCACAAGGGATGAATGCCAAGTTCTGATTTGCTAGATTGATCTTCCTGCAGACGTTGATCAAATTGTTTGTTTATAGATATAGAAACTGTGCATTACTCATTCTTTGATTTGATTTGATTTGATTGTTTTGTTTCTTCAAAATTTATGCTAACGGCTGAATTTTGCCACTAGTTTTTGTTTTTGAGAGGGTTAATCTCCAAGCCATGTTGCGTAGAGCTGCTCTACATTCACTGCTGAAACTTTCGTTAAGTCGACTCTTTCAGGCATGAAGGCACATAAATCTTTGATTTTTTCCCCTTCCGGTTTCGAGTTGAGGATCAGATGAACAAAAATGTGAATTTACAAGTGTGTACGTACATGCACTTGGTATGAACCGAATATGCACGCATCTGCAGCCCGAATACATTAGGAAAGTTTGAAAATAGCCAAGTTTCGGACATGCTAAAGAATCCTGGTGCATTTTCTTCAACTTTTAGAATTTTAAGCAGTCGATCAGAGATTGAGCCCTGCTGGAGGGCGGTTTGAGCAATGCTTGAGGGGAGGGATTGAACAGCTTCGTTTATAAATCACAAATGAGCGCCAAAGATGCGACTTAAATTTTTACATACCATTACTAACAAATTTATCATCTCAACGACAAATGTAGAAAAAAGCTAAAATCATGAGCGTGATGTAAGGAACCAAAAGCTCAGGTTTGTACACCCCCACAACTCTCACTATTCTTATTCACAAAACTGAAGATTACAAACAAAAAATTGTAAGCCCGCGGTGGACTATCCAATTCGCAGTTTCAGTAACACAATTCCTAAACACTCATGAATTCCTATTGATATATTCATATTACATACGCGTTGATCATCTGCATCCTTTGAGCATACCTGTACTATAACGGCTCATAACGGGTTTATAATCGCACCTTCACAATCAGAGTTAGCCTTCTTTCCTTTAGTAGAACCAAAATATGATTCTTTCACCAGAGTCCTGTAGTCTTCTTCCATGAAGTCCTATGCTATCGCAATTTCTACGTTGGAGCTGTAAATGTCGTGGAAACGAGTGAATGAATATCACCAAAACCAGACTGGCTCTCCATTTCCTTTTACCCATTTTATATGAACCGGTCGCCACTGCTGTTTTCACCTGCATTACTTCTTTTCAAATTAAGGTTGGCGCAAGGCTCATGAAAAATGTGAACTTAAGAAGAATGAACGGTTCAATTGGTATACCTTTTGCGCTTGCTCTTCAAAACCGTGGAGGTTGAAGGATTGCTGTGCCAGTTCCTCTTCCGCTGATTGATGAACCAGTTGTTTATCTGCTTTAAATGCAAACCAGTTTCCTGTACCAACCTAGCCTTGTCCTCCTCCTGCAAATTAATACAAACACCATGCTAGTTTAGATATTGGCGAGAACAAAAATTTGCGGATTTATGAAATGTGTTTAGGGTTTAGGAATTTAAGAAGCCTGTAGATTTTCGTATGTTTAGAATGCAAACTCAAAGAGCTTCTCAAACTTACAGTTGGATATGGCCACTTCGAATGTGATTGCCACCAAGCTTTTAGGACAGAGGTGGTGTTGCCAGGAAGTTTTCCGGCTCTTCTCTTGCGCATAATCTCCTCTCTTATGTCAACGATTTTCTCCTTGTAACCCTGCAAAATTTGTTCATATAAGTAAAAGGGATAGCAGATGTACCATGAACAATTTCATGATTTAGTACCTGTTTCAGTTCATGCTTCAGTTCTTGCCTCACGCGCTCCATCAAGGACCTTTCACTCTCTGTCGGTATAAGAGGGCCAAATCCCATGCTGTCATGACCCTCCATACTTCCATCAAACAAGTTTGCATCACTATCTACTTGGTCGTCTTCGTCATCAGACATTGTAGCACCTGTTCCTTCGCCGGGGGAAACTCCTGTTTATGTAGTTTGTGTAAGCAAGTTTAACTTGCTGCCAAAGAGACATGACCACCGTCGTTGCAAAAGTTTACCTGTTAAGCTTTGAAGTGATTGCTCAATCTCCCAGCAAGCCATCACTGCTTCCATTGCATGCACCCGGACGTGTTGTTGCAGTTGTTCTTTAAACGAACAAAGCAACAAAACATAATGCCTCTGTATCATCAACAACAAAAGCAAATCAAAATTTTTGTATTTAAAAAAAAAATTTATCGGTTAAAACACATGATGGACACTACAATTTGCAAGTGACATTGCAGAGGGAAAGAGTTGTCTTATCTCTCAGCTTTTTGTCTTCCCGCATGTTTTTTGTTATAAAAAGATTGGGGGATTCAGAACGGAGGCTTCGCTTTTATTTATTATGTCAAGAGTCAGCACTGTCTTCCCTTGTAGCCTTAAAGCTTTTTCAGATCCCTATAATATATCCCTCGAAATCTTCAACCATCTCATCTCATCCCAAGTTCTTCCTACGTACCAATAAATTCCTCGTATCGTGTAATTAATTTAATAATTATCTGTTTGAATTCGAAACTTTTTAAAATTGGATGAGGACTGATATCATAATAACCATTGTTAAATTATGAGTATCAAATTCAAATAAATTTCTTGTTTCCAAAGATCAAAAATTGCAAATATTAATTTTACAAAATTTGGTTTCCATTTAATTGACAAGAAAATTTCTCACAAATTTGATGTGTGTTTTAATTTATTATAGCCAATTACCCAAATTTGATGACTCATTCGTCACTACTATAAAAATTCAAAAGCAAAGGCAAGTCATCACCAAAACGCAAAAGAGCATTACCATGAACTGATCAAGCTCCTTGTCATCGCCGACCATGCCATTCCCCAAGGCGGAGTACTTCGCCACCACATTCTGCGACTGAGCCAGCTGAGCGTCGATCCTAGGCAGCTGGTCCACCGGTGTCGCGATCCGCAGGCACGCTACGTGTGCCGACAGCAGCGGCTCGTACAGCGGGTGCGCCAGAATTTCGGCTTTGTGTCTAGCGTTCTGCCAGTTCATCACCCCGCCGTCTCCTCCTCCGCCTCCGCCGGGGATGCCGCTCTCGACGACTCCGCCTTCGCTCTTGTTGAGGTTGCTGTCGGGCTTGAGGTCTGCGGAATCATGGGACATCGCGGCGATCATCGAGTCGCCGGCAACGGTGACGTCATCGATGACGTCGCTGTGGTTGCGGTGGAGGATCGGACGGTGGGACTGGGAGAGCCATTGGTTGGAGGCTTGGGAGGCCGCGGAGTCGGAGGCGGTAACGTGGAGGTTCAGGAAATTGGATGCACCGCCGCCGTTGTTGTTTGCGTTGTTGCTATTGGTCGGGTTGGTGTCGGCGTTGGTGAAGTTGCGGAGGAGGGCGGAGTTGAGCCAATTGGGGGCTGGCTGAAATGGATGGTGGGGCTCGGGGGGCTTGGAAGTCGGGTCGGTTTGGTCCGATTGATATTGCTGGTGCTGTTGCTGGGTTTGGTCGGTGAAGTGGTGGAGAGGGAGGTCCTGGGAGAGGTGGTTGTGGTACGCCATGAATACGGATGATCAGCTGGGTACACCAATTTACAGTCGGAGAAGGAAACAGAGGCGCTCTGTTATTTGTTTTTCTTTCTTTCTTTTCTGTCTAAAAAATGAATTAAAAAAGGAGAAGTGAAGACGATGATTCAGAGGACATGGATGAAGAATTCGGAGCTCTGTGAGCAGAGGGAGAGGAGAGACTACAAGACAAAGATATATGGCTGGATTTGTATATCTATATATCTATCCCTCTCTGTTCTCTGTAGACTATATGGTCTGTGTGTGTTTTCAGAAATGTTGAGAGAGAAAGATGAGACCTTTTGAGAGAGAGAGAGAGAGAGTGAGATTGAAAGGGTTTAGTTTTAAGGGTTGATGGCTTATATATGGTGAAGCTGTTTAGAGAGAGAGTGAGAGAAGATTTGGACACAGTAGTTTTCGGGGAGGGCAAAAATGGGCTCGAGAAACTGCTTTCCCAATTAAAAAAATAATAATGTTAGAAAAATTAAATTTTAAAAAATAAAAAATATGGAAGTTGATGATTGATTGTTTATTTAAACGTTGATAAACGTGCTTATTTCTATTCACATAATTTAGTTTACAAATTTAATCTCTCTAACATTACTCATAAAAAAATAGTGGGATTTTTTGGGAAAGTTAAGACTGTAAATCTCACATTTGAGATTTTAAAAACTTGAATGGACTCATATGCTTATAAGCAGTTCATTTATTATAAATTGATTTTATTTAAAAATCATCATATTTGACGAGGCGTGTAAAGAGTGTACATCTCATTGGATAATTGAGATACATTTTATGTCTTTAGAACAAGTTGAGCTTTTTCATGTATTATCAATTAATTTTATTTAGACCTTGATCTTTTTTAAAGAGGTGGCCCTATTATTATTATTATAAAGAAATCTAAAATTGGGGGCCAATAGTAAATTTAGGTTTATATTGATATTTGAATTTTTTATATCAAAGAAAAGTAATGGTATGAGCGAAGACTTGTCAAAAGATGTATGGGTTTGATTAGCGAACTTATAATTTAAGAAATATTAGTGTATTTTATAATTCCAATTTAACGATTAACATAAGTAGGTTTAGCTTGGGGTAGTTGGGATCTCTATTCACTTTATGGGACATTATTTATGTTTAAGTTTTAAAACTCACAACAAAAAGTTAGCATCACAAGAAGGAAAGAAAAACAAAAAGCAAAAGATAACTCAATGAAAATCTTGGCATGTTATTATCACCAACGTGGATTAGCTTAATAATTAATGATTTGATGTTTACTTTAGTAATAATACCCAAGAAATAAACAAAGATTAGACAAGTTTAAGGCGTGATTTCGTTCTGTCTTCAAATAGTGCAATTTGTTTTATAACATGGTTAAATTTTTGAATGATTGCTAGAAATTTTCTAACTAATTATCTCATTTCAATTTTTTCACTTTTACTTAGGTCATGCGTACTTCATTAGTACGTTAAATTAAAAATTAAATTACTTTCTAAGTGACACTAAAATATTAATTTTAATAACAAAAAATAATAGTGAGATTTTAATAC